CTCCTTCCCCCTACCAGCATGATGGAGGCTAGCTGTGTACCAGGGGGTGGGGGCTTGGCATGCCATAGTGCTAAAGACAACATACTAAGCTTTAAAAGCTGTCTGAAGTAAGATGAAAAGACAGAGAATAAGCTTACCTTCATCTCTGATAAACAGGTTAGCATTAACACTGATAGAATTTTCTAGGTGTGGTTCCTGAATGAATGTTGGTCCTACAGAGCCACCCCATCCCCAAGTTTTTTGTCAAGTTAATTTCAACTAGTTCTTCAGATCACCACTAGTACCTATGCCCCCTTGGGGAATCAAAGGTCTTTTATTTTACCCTATCATAGAATCTTTTTTTTTTTAAATTATCATAGAATCTGACCATGGATTGGGTTTTTGGAGTCCAGGTGGCTTTGTGGGTTACGTGTTGTGCTGCTAACTGCAAGGTCAGCAGCTTGATGGGAGAAAGATGAGGCTGTCTGTTCTCTTAGCCATTTCTGGCCTCAGACATCATAGCAAGCAGCTCTACTTTGTTCTATGGCTTTACTGTGAATCAAGCTGGACCAGGCGGTAGTGAGTTTTTGTTTTTTAATCATGGAATACAGATCCCTGGGTAGCACAAAGGGTTTGCCTTAATTACTAGCCTAAAAGTAGACAGTTTGAGCTCCCAGAGAATAATAAACCAAAAATCCTTTGCCAGGAGTGACTCAGTGACCCTATAGGACAGAGTAGACTGCTCCATGGGGTTTGCAAGGCTATAAATCTTTATAAAAGCATGCTGACAGACCTTTCCCCAGTGGAGTGGCTAATAGGTTGGGACCAAGAACATTCTGTGTAACAGCTCTATGGTGTAACAGCGTCACCATGAGTTGGCATCTAATGGATGGCGATGAGTAATTTAGAATCGGGTTAAGCACGGTTTTCTCCGTTGATAACTAAACTTCTATTAAGCAAATTACTTGATTAATATACCTCCCTTTCCCTTCAGGGCAGAGACCTTGTCCATTTTGATCAACACTGAGTATCATTATTACATAATAGCTGCTCAATAAACAATAGTCACAATAAAGCACCAGGCTTGGTTTCCAATATGTTCCATTTTGTTCTTTAGAATGACAGTACAATGCCTAGGGGCTTGAACTTCCAAAAGAGGCAAAATGATCCTAAGAAAATGTTCTTTCCTTAAATCCATTCATCTGGCAAATGTTTACTTTGGTAAACATTCAGATAAAATGGTACAGTGGCAAGGCAGATACAAGTTTACAAGGGGGCAGGGTGGTTGCATCCAGAGCGCTGGTGCTGCAGTGGTTGCAGCGCTGGTCAGGTACGAAAAGGTCCGTGGTGGTTCCGCAGGAGAAAGATGTGAGTTCGCTATCACAGCTTTATACCCTTGGGGACCCCACGCGGCAGCCCTGCTCCATCCGATAGCTAAGAGACAGTCAGCTCAAGAGCAAAGGGTTTTACTTGTAAATGACTGTACTATATCGCCTGCATTTACACCTCCCTCCCTAAACGACTATTATTGTATATATACCGCCCCAAAGAAAAAAATATATCTTAAGGGTTCGCTAACGTTTGAGAATGGAGAAGCTTCCCGGAAGCAGGCGATGGGCGTCTTGCAGTGCAAACTATCAAGCGAGATAAGGACGCTTTCAGCAATCTATCAGCCGGGTGCCAGGCTGGGCCTGGTCTCGAACTC